ATCGGGGGATTATATGCCGGTTCGGCGGGACTAAGATAGTGAATTTGATTGACCTCCCCACTTCCCGACCACAGTCTCCCCCAAGTATTTAATCCTAACAATCCCTCATCGAAAACTATTTCATCCTTTTTTATTATTCTGGTGGTGCCGTTGAGCACTACTATTTACTGTAAGTGAGGATATGAACTTACTCTCTGGATATACACCAAAACCTGTGCCCAGTAGTCATTCATCCCCTACCCCCGATGGGGTTGCTGCGAGATGGGTCTGCCCATAGTAGAGTTCTATTTATTTTATTTCGCGGACTTACTGGGGGATTAGCTAGTTTAAGAGAAGTTCGGTATAAGCTAAAATGAAATATACGGGGCTGCTCCTTTAAGCAATCGTAGTGAAAATAACATACTAGTTATCGCACCACGGTCGCATACGTGCAGAAAATTTTGATCCATATACAACTGTTCTATTTAATTTATCCTATGCCAATGTATGTCCGTGCACTGCAGGCTCCCGGAATCTGGGTAATCATATTCGATCACTCGCCTCGGATACACCGCGGTCAAACCGGGCCCGGCCAGATGATCTCTGGAAGCCGGATTACAGCATGCAGCCCGGCCAGGCGAACTCCCGGAAAAACACAGGCCTCCCGGGTTAAGTCCAAAGCCTGGTACCGATAGTTTCAATCGCATATATCGCCCTAGTAACACCGATAGCCTGGATTAGCCCTATTTTAATCAAATATTTGGGGAAGCCTACGCAAGCGATATCCCAACACAGCGCGAGAGTTTAACCGTTAAATTCTACGAAAGTTATATCGACCCTGCATAGCTCAAGCAGGTAGACCCCCATAGTCCCCCGAAGCCCCCCCAAATCCCTCACGGTCCCTGGCCGTCCTCCATAATCACCCATAGTCCTTAGCCATCTCCCGGAACGGTTGGGAACACTGGAAAGTAGCATATGGTGCTCGCAAGATCTGCAGGCAGGCACTAGTTGAGATCATGGGCGTAGGCAAGGGGCTGCGCACCGGGAAAAGGGCTTTCAACAAAGCTGCCCGAATTGTGGGCCCCCCTGTTGGGTCAAAGAGTTTGAGGGAGTCCATCGAGTCGACCAAATCAATGTCATCTGGAAAACTGCAACTCTTCTCTGTAAGATACCGGCGGTCGGTTAGGTGCCGGTACTGAGCTGGTTCCATCGGCTGGTGGACCGTCGATTGGGGATGGAATGCAGGCTGGCAAGTGCGTATTGGAGGGATAAACCACACTGTACCGCACACCTGAAAGAGCAGCTGGAGCACCGAGGGGACCACCCCCACTCCACCCTAATCCCCGCGTGCCAGTGGGCACATTGAGTCCTTAAATCTGGGCGGCATTTCTATCCAAGAAACCTCAACTCTTGTCCTAGCATTGGATCTCACTCGACCGTTATCGGATACAGGACTAGCGAGGTCGCCGGGGTCTCTCGAGTTATCTGCAGCTTCCGCTCTCTTGATATCGGATGAGGCTGGATGCATCTACGCTTCCCGCGCAGTTCGTGGAAACTCCAGATGTGCAGGGCCTCGCGATTCACCTCCGATGCGGTGTCCGGATCCTTGACCGTATTTGAGTTGGTTCCGGGAATAGCTGGGGGTACTGTATAAACTGTGGGGCTAATGATAGACCGTGGTCCCCCATTTCTACTCGAGACCAGAAGGGAAACTCGATGGCCTCTGACAGCAGGCCGGTAAGAAAACTTGCTATTGCTGTACCTATGTCATGGGTGGCAGTCCTGTCACTGTCTGGGAGCACCACGGAGCACGGTAAGGGTTTGAATAAGATCAGGGTGTAGAGATGTTCAACGTGTGATGGCATATCAATGGGAACTAGTAGTAAGTAGAATCGGGGGCTTTTTTATATTGGATATTCTGGCGTCTCTCTTCGCGGCCGGGATATGTAGGTAAATGTCCATATGTTGTAGGAGATTGGAGTATGAGGTGTTGAGTGCCGGGTCGGAGCTATACGGTAGGCTGTAAAGCAGAGAAAAGTGTTGTAGTGAAACGTTACTGTACGAGCAGAAGAATTTTATTTCACGCTATTGATAGATATGGTGGTCGAACTGGTACCTGCTATAGCAGTAGGTTCGTATTTGAGTATGATGTCGACCCCCGAGGCCGTAAACTGACACTAGGGGACATCTGTCCAATAGCCGGAGCCGCGGGGGAATTACTGATACTAATACAAGGCTAGAGCTTAGAGTGTCTGAGTTATTCTAGGCAATAGATGGCAGCGGCTCAGACGAGGACCACCCACTTTTTTTCCTCTACCTACTACAGGCTCTGTAGAGTCTTGTAAACATGAGAGAATTTACCGAATTGGGTGCTAAAATTCGAGCCTACTTTCCTCGCAATCTTGGATATGTAAGCGATGCCTGTGCACAAGGGACTCCTATCTGGATTTTATTTGGAGGAGTCGTTTAACGATCCTAATATGTTGTTTTCTTTGTCTAGGCGATCCGTCAGATGCTTGTCACAGGAAGTTAAATTCTGACCACTTGCCACCTCCGAAAAGACATAACTTCACTCGAGCAGACAACAATAAAACGCATTTTAAGCTTCCGATATTTCGGGCCTCCGCTATTTCGAACCTTCAAAGTATGTAGTCCCACATGATACTTTAGTAGGGCTCCTTACACCCTGGACTAGGAAGTTGACAAACTGGATGTGAACGATATCTTCAAGCTATTTAGCAATTTAGCACAAATTAGTAGATAATAGCCCAAATACATAATATCAACCTATCTAGGGCAGGTAGAGAAACAGGTGTGGTCCTTGGGACATCCTAGGACTTCGGTCACCAAGGTCTTTGGTTGTAAGTGACCTGATGGCTAACCCGGCGAGCCATGTTCGGGATCAACTTCGGTGGCCAAACAATGGCAATACTCATACTCGGAAGCCCATTTACCAACCGCCCAGTCACTAGGCTCTCATTAGCCCACCAGGGATTTGGCCCGCATAGGTTTCCTTTTGTAGAAACCGGAGGGAAAGGCAAAAACGGGAGATCCTTGAAGCAAGGCGATCCTGGGTATTTGTGGCCGAAATTTCAGCAATGTGGGCTAAGTCCTGGCTTGAAAGAAGAGCGCAATTGCTTTCATGATTTTTTTTTGGAAGATAATAAACTAAGATGTTGCCCGCAGTGGACTAAACGGGAGAGAATATGGCTTTTCTGTTGTGGGATTAGGATAGGAAAGGTACGGGCGTAAACCCCATTCTTTTCCCGAACCGTCTAACCAATCTGTAATGACAGGTGTATAAGCAAAACACCATAAAAGCAAAATAACCCCTCATATATCACTTCACCTATCATCATAGTTACGCGCGTGCCTGATTTCCTCCGTGCACTCCTGTAGTAATAAAGAAAAATATTGCTCCCGGAATCATCTCCAAACTATCAGATAGACCGTCCATGCTCCCAACCAAAATTCCAGACTCCAGCAGCCCTAGAAAACAATTTTGGCCTTCTATCATTTTTCCTGCACCTTCCGGGGCCAACCACAACTCAGTCTCTATCGTTTCCAACAATTTTACCCCAGGTCAAAATGTCCTGAAATTTTCATCAGCGTGTTTTTATCCGCCATCCTTCGGAAATCTAGGAATTGAGTGATGTGAGACAGGTGTGTGTGTACTAGCAACCATATCGTTGCTGGGTCCTCTGCCGTACCGTACTCGCATTCACTAAATGTAGCCTTAAAAGTAGATTTGTCGTTTATGCTATGTTCGCCAGCGGCACAGCCAAAGTTTGAACTCACATAGCTAGAAGGGCAATGAGGGGATTTGTCACGTCTTGTATTATTAGACACGAGGGTGAGATTACTAAATTACTTCATGCTAGCTTCCAGTTTAACAGAGTATTCGGAGATAGGTGGATTTAGAAGGCTCTGGCTGGTTACTAGGGTAAGATAAGTGGGATAATTCCCTACCCCTAGCCTCCCGAGATTTAGAAGTGGTGTCGATTTGGGCCAACAGTGTTGGGATTACCTTGGTTATCAGTAGCTAGATTAGGGAGATGTGCTAATCCTGGTTAGTTCCCTAACAAAACCTTTGGTCCCCGCTATTCCCTTACAAGTGTCATACACATTCTCGTTTCCATTTATTTCCTGAAAAACACCCCGGGATCTTGGCTTTATATTCCACTTCAAATATTTACTCCGCCACCCTTCATTCCTTTCTGGGGAACTTTGCCGGGTTTAGGAACGGGTTGGACAATGTAGACAACAGCCAATAGGATTAGCCAACGTGACAACAGGCTTGTGGAGCCTCAAGATGGGATAGACAACGCCAGACAACTTCAGAAGCTGTAAAGGGTTAGAGGAAAGATATCGGTTCTCTCCACCTACAGGCAACTAGAGTTGGTAACGATCAGTTCATCTTCTTGGCGCACTATCAGTATGGGGCCCATCCATCACTTTTGCTGGGCGAGCGGATGTTTGGTTGGGTCCGGGTGAGTCGTCGAACGAGTTTTGTACCAACTAACGTTGCTTACTAATGATAATCCTGAACTCATCCAGATCTCGTCCAAGCTTTGAGGACCCTTAATTGAATTGTGCGCGATGCCGTTGCGCTTTCCTCTCTGGGCAAGGTCTTGTAATTTTGTTTTTTTTTCTATCTCGGAAGAGTGAAAGGGTCTGTGCTTCTACTACGAGTAGACTACAATACCCTTTTTGGCCACTTTCTAGCTTAGAGAAGGGAACTTCCGACCGCATACCGCATGGCTTAATTATTCTTAAATCTACCGTATCTCTATTTTCTCCACCCCTTGTGTGCCACTTGGTGAGGATTCTGAGGAATTCGGATCCATGGACCCACGTCAGGTTAGGGTTTTACTTGTGGCGGTCTGTGGTGTGGTTGATCCTGGACGCAAATCCCACATCCCGACATATCCCTGCATCGGGTTCCTTCTACAGGAGGGGCGGTTTTTTCACCTTCTCTCTTTTTCTTTTTTTTCCATTTCGCAGCGCGCCAACCGATCGAAATGAGGACCGCAGATCTTATTGTAATGAGCCCCGAGCCCCTTCTGAAAATTATTCCTCTGATTGCGAAGTTGTTGATGATGGCGAAGGCAGGACCGGCAGCGGGCTTCGCGGTATGCTTGTCCTTCTACCCGTTCGATACTTTGAAGACGAGAGTCCAATCGCCCGCATTCCGAAAACTCGCGGCGCAGTCTGCGCACCCGAGGAGAATGTGGCTACGTGGGTTGTACCAGGGCATCGGACCGATTACTCTCGCTATGATGCCTGCTTGTATGTTCGCTCGTACCGCTCTTGGAGGGGGGGTTGCAAATTTAATTTTTTTTTTCTAACTTGGCGATTGCGGTGGCCAGCGGCTGTGTTCTTCGCATCCTACGAATCCTCAAAAAGGTTTCTGCTAACCTCCGCGCCGCGAATACCCGAGCCGATAACACATGTTCTCTCTTCGTCTCTGGCGGAGGTCCTTGGGTGTGTGGTGGCTACACCCGCTGAAGTGATCAAACAAAATGCACAGGTCCTGCAGGAAGCCAAGGGCTCGAGTTCACTTGCAGCCCTGAAACTCATTGGGCGGAATCCCAAAGATCTCTGGCGGGGCTTCACACTCCTCGCAGGCCGTAATATCCCATTTGTTGTTATCCAATTCCCGCTTTATGAACGGCTGAAGGTAGCATTCGGAGTACGTGAGCGGGGAAGCGGATTGATGGAGACTGCAAAAGTTACGGGCGCGGCGGCTGGATTATCTGGGGGTGTGGCGGCCTGGTTGACAACACCGGTGGATATGGTGAAGACAATTATCATGCTGGAAGCGAGTAAGCACGGTGGGAAGAGATTGAGGGCGGCGGATGTAGCAAGGAGCGTGTGGAGGGAGGAGGGGGTGAAGGGTCTTTGGCGGGGAGGGGCCTTGAGGGGTATTTGGACTGGCGCCGGGAGTGGGTTATATCTGGGGGTTTATGAATGCACGCTTTTAGCTATGGGCGAAAAGTAATGCTGTACGGTGTTAGATTACTGTAGATACTGATTTAGCGTGTAGTTATATGTATAGAAACGGAACCAATCTCCTGAATAACATCCAAGTAAACCGAATACCAGGATTACACCCTTCGCATCCGGGGACTCGTCACAAATATTAAGGTCTTCTGGGGGGTGCCACCCCGAATAATCATAAGAACCCAACCATTCTCTCAAATACATATCACACTTCACTCTATTCTATCATTCACCGATCCCTGGTGGAAACCCTGATACTCGGCTCTCATTGTCACATGAGACGGATATAGGGGTCACGGGTCCCCGTCGAACTATCATCCTACTGCGCCCCGATTTATGTCCGTGTCCCCAGAAATCCGCCCCGAGCAGATCTGACCTTAACCTGGAGTGGGAAATGAGTCACTAAGTTAATAGATAAGCTTTTAGTTTCGTCGCAGCTACTCTACCACAACAGCATCCGGGTCTCCCGGTAATTGACGCGCTGTGGGAAATCGTACAGTATCGTGGGTAATTCATGCAGGACCTGGGTAGAATGTACGGGAGCGTTCGGGACATCTACTATAGAGGGAGTTTATGCTTTGTAAGCTATTTTCCCTAATAGTTAGTATAATACAACACCTGGGTACCGAGATTCGGGGGAGAAGGTGGTAGTAAATTTATTGATCAGTGAATAGTGTCCCTTCTTTTGGAACCAGTGGTGTACGGACCTTGAACGTTATTAAGCATATAGTGGTATGTGTTCGGGGAAAGGTAGAAGGAGGGCAGATATATTATGATGTTTTTATGACCCTTTCTCCCGAGGAGTATCATAGGGAAGGTAGGTATCCCCTCCGATACAGCTTGGATGCGGGGTGTTGTGTTGCTTTGGCCGATTCATCGAGGTCGTCGGGAATGACGGGCGGAGTGGATATTAAGGGGGGTTAGATTGACTTGGGTGGCATGATAGCGTACCCCACCCCTAACACACCAGAACTCCATAGAGGCTCCCGGGATCGGTAGTAACGGGTGGGACTCCTAGGACATTCAGGGAGAGTTGTTGAACGTTTCGGGCTTTAATTGTTCAAATCCCTACCCCGCTTTCCTCTGGCTCTCTTTGCTCTTTCGGAATCTTTACTTTCCCTCCTTTTCGTTTTGTTGATAGACACTAAGGTTTAGCTAAAAACTAGCCTACCCCCGATGTGTTCTTTTATTGGCCGTCCTGCAAGAAGTCCCGCAAGATAACATAGATATCGAGTACTAGGCCATTATCCCTCGAATAGGCATTAAGGTCGCATACGTGACACCATTGCAAATTACTCCAGCAGCATCAGCCTTAGCCCTGTAGCCCCAGCGCAGGTCTAGGGAATGAACCCCCAGCCCCCCCACCCTACCCCGGAATACCGCCCCACCAGGTGTGGTTATATCCGGCAAGATTTCAAATTGCAAAAGATGCTCAACGCATCCGGGTATACCAAGAAACCGGCAGCCAACGGAATATACATACATGAGGGTTTGGATGAGGATGCAGGAGTATCTATTAGAAAAAAGTGGTAAGCAAGGAGCCAGGGGTTACGGGGTAGCTAGCAGAGTGCCAGGTTTGTTTTTATAAGTGTAATCAAGCCCACTGCCTCGGTTGTGCCGGCCTAACGGATAGCTGGCGGAGAGGCAAGCGGTAACCGGGGGGTAGTGATCAAGCAGTGGTGAAAGGCAATAAAAAATGTGGGGTTACCTAGCCAGGAACTAGGCCATCTAGGAATAGCCAATGGCACTAACCGGGTTAAGGGTTTATCTCTCGCTACAATACTGAAGAGCTTTAACGATCCATGGAGCCGAGTTAGACCTCGAGTGGCTCCGGGGGCTTTCTGTCTATAGACTATGATTATTATTGATTAGAGAAATTCTATATCTGCCGTCCTATTAGCAATCACCCCCTCTCCCCCCTTCATTCCACCAAAATCCACACCGCAAAACCCATGTGAACAACTAAGTTAATAATGCAAAAAATCAAATTCATCTGGCTCTCCTCCCCATCAAGTACTTCTCATCGCCCACAATTCTTCTCCTCCCGCTCCCATCATGCTCCCGAACACTCTCCTCCTCATCACAAGAGGCCCTTTTCTTCGCTCCTGTGGAACAAACCTGCACTCCTTCACCCTCAGAACCGAGCCCCTCCAGGACAGCCTCGGTCAAGGTATATACGTACCCTTCCTTCTCCCGCTCCCAATTCTCATCCGCGGCGTCGCGGAGAATGCACGTATAGTTTTGAAGCTCTACAACTAGTTCCTCTGCACCGTTTTCTCCGTGGCCATATTCACTGCATTCTTCGGTAGAGGCTAGTAGCAGGGCAAGCTCTTCTAGAGCTATCTGGGATATCCCCTCTTGGGCCTGCGTCTCTGGGGCGTGCTCCCTCGTTTTGGGGCGGAAAGGAAGTTTTTCAGGCGACGCGTTTCGGACTTTGGGCGACCGGAGGCATGACCACGGAATGGGTGAGGAATCCCTCCCTGGTTCCGTATCTGGGCCCCCCTGTTCTTCGGATTCGTAGTATTCCCCTAGGGGTCCCCTCTTGCTGCTGGGGGTGGGATAGCACAATGAAGTCGGGTCCATTACCGGTATTGGGTGACTCATTTTGACGGCAATCTGTTATCGGAAATCTACCGGTGTAATAAATAGTGAATACCTCGCCCTTTCTTTCTTGTCCCTTCTCTCAATCGGCTTCTTATTGTTTGTTTATTGCTTTCTTGTTTTTATCCCCTTGTGTGCACCCTCCTTGGGTTACCACTGCCAATGAACCAGTAATCCGCCTTTCTATCTGTCAAGAATGTTGGTGTAAATTGCTTCCTTGTATCGTTAGAAGCTTCGCGAGCGGGGTAGCCGGTAGTCCAAGGTTCTAGCAATATGAAATGGATACCATAAAGGAAACGTGGAGAAAGGGGGAAATGCAGTGGAAAGAGTGCCGTCTAAAGGGCCAACAACTTCCACTGTTATTAAATACCATCAGAAAAGGGTTCACTCATCCCCCTGAAACCACCCTCCCCAGTAGCAAAGACATCCTCACGCACTGCGCATCACACACCTCGTTTATCCCCAAACAGCCAACTTTGTTCAAGTTTTCAAGGCGCTTCGTTTTCAACCACCTTACTCTCCCGAACAATCCGAGACCTTAGCTCACCGCAAGCAACTGATACTAAACAGCAAATTACAACTGCGGGGTACAATACTAGAAAACCGCATCTTTAATTTTCGGTATAAGATTTGGTGTAGGGCACTCGCTTCCTTTACGATGGAAGGAGACCCCACCGAAAGTGCTTGTTGTCTGGAATGCACTACACATACTGAGTGACTGGTAGATTTCATTCCTGGGTCAGGAATGAACTTGAAGCCGTGGGCTTGCATTCTCTGATTGGGAATCAGTGGCTTGGGAATGAAGGCTGGTATGGAATGATGGCTGCGCTGAACTTGGATGTTTGTATATATAGTCTTTGTTTTGTTGTTATTATTCGATCAACTGAACATAAGATTGAATACGACTCTATTTAAGGTCAACTTCAGTTTTCAGTGCTGAGAATTAAGTTGACGAGTGACGCAATGTGATGGGGTTCCGAATTGACCGTGGAAAGAATAGTGATACCTCTGAGCCTCTACTTGCCTTAGCTCAGAACACGTAGATATTTGTATGGAACCCATAAAGAATTGAAATGGTGGCAACTCAGTTGCTTGTTTGGAGATTACAGTGCGCATGTGTAGCAGGTTGTGTGAACAGGCTAACACAGAGTTTTCTTTTTTTTCCTTTCCCCGTACAGCACCGGTCTCTTACTATGATGCTGATCGTAGTATCAGCAGGGTCAAAGGACAGGAGTCTTGGTGAAACAGAGCCTCTCTTGGTCTCTTGAACAGGCCCCTTCCCCGCACAGACCACCAATTGCGCAATACTAGCGTGACCCCATTTCGTACTAGTATCATACACCGCTAGTAAGTTACCGGTTCCTACAATCCGTGGCCGCGCCAAACTTGTCTCACAAAGACTTTTGACTACCTGGAGTGGCAGTGCTTGTAGTTTTGGGATTACACTCAGCGTCCTTGCACTACCGGTACTAGGTAAATCCCAGATCCCGAGTCACCCCGGTATCTGATACGAGATTATCACATTCATCGGCATATGCTGAACTGCTCTTTGAATTGCTACTTAGAGTAGCTATTGGGGGTGTTTACCGGTAGTTTCGAACAACTTACACTGCGATGCGCTGCGATGGTCGAGCACAGTGCTTTAAGGTACTTGGCTGTCTCAAAGAATACCCGAAAAACGCCATCCCTACTCCCACAGAACCCGGTATGGGGATGTGGGGAAAGCTGTCCGGAGAGCTTTCCAGCCTGCTCTCCCCTTCTGTAATGAAGACGCACGGGTGTTTTAAGCGCACAATACGGAAAAGAAAAAATAGTAGATATGAAGTGCGACTATTTTCAACAAAAGTACGAGAGGGTTTCCACTATAGAAATAGTTTGATGAAGGTCATGCTTGCATACCACTGCTTGCTAGAAGTGTGAGAGTGAAGGTGAAGCTGGGATTGAGAGGCTGATTCGTTCTGCTCTGGAGGGTCACTGCAGCTACATCTAGGTAAATTTGTATAGATGCTAATATAGGCCATCTGCTAGGGGTATTGGTTTATCAGGCACAATGCATCACAACACATCCCTCCATCCATCACCTAAACCCGCACTCATAGCCAAGTTTATGCTCTAACAATCCCACTTGTTATTACGAAACACGAAACCCGGGACCCCCCATCCTCGTCCTGGGCTCACTCGTTGGTAGAGTATATCCAAACTAACACTCGGATCGGGTCGAAGGCCTAAATACCCCAGACTAGCCTATTACGACAAGGTGCGGAAATAAGGATAGCTCGGTATATTGGCGGGGGTGTATACCCCACCCTCGGTCAAGCATTCGTGTATAAGCTGAGCATGATTCTGCAGGACTCGAACTACAAGGGGATAGCTATATCTTTGGCCGTTGGAACACTATAAGCTATCCTATCGCGCTTAACTTGAAGTGCAAATTCATCACAATTTAACCACCGACAGTGTGGACCACCGAATAGTGCTTGAGCAAAAACTTAGGTAGTAGCATAAATTGTAAGAAGGACATTCCGCTCTCTTCCCCCTCACCAAGGCGAATTTTTTCCTGCTCAGCCGCTAATGTTGGGAAGTTGGAGCGGCAAAAAATGGCACGAGGTATGACTTGTACCTTATCAAGGTAGAGAGAAAAACACCTTGAGGGCTTGTCAATTGTGTGCTTAGTAGTCAATCCAAGTGAGGTATATGAGGGAACGTATGGTGAGTAGAAAGATGGAATGCAAGATTGTCTATTCTGATGGGAATACAAACTACACTACAGGAATTCCTCTACCCGCTGGTAATGGCCCATCCCGTGTCAAGAATACCAAACTCTTAGTCTAACAACGCTGGAAGGAGGAAAAAAAAAAAGTTAATAAGGACTCCCGAACAATATGTACAGTGAGCCACGAGGGATACTGGGAGCCACTGTTTCCAATGAATCCGGAAGACAAAAATCTTGTGCAACAGCGGCCAAAACAGAGCCGGTGATGGGTACAAAATGTCTACATAGATATAATGGTAAGGCTTACGGGGTGGCAGATTATACTCCACCCAGCGTTGAGGTTTTCTAATTACGCAACATATACCGCAAAACGGATGTTCGCCGGTGCAACTTCTGAATGGTAGAAGTGAAGCGACGGAGGAGAGGAGGTGGGCGAACCGAAGAATGGTAGAGGGAAAAACAAACTACCGAAAACTTCTATTCACCTACACCCGTGTTCCCGCTCCCTACCCTCCCGTTGGACTAATACTCCATAGTCCTCTTAATCCCGTCTAACACCCTCACAACATCCGGCACCATAAACCCCTCAAACGCTAATGGCATAGGGGTGTCCCACCCTGTAACCCTGGTGACGGGAGCCTCAAGCCTCAGAAAGCACCTCTCCTGCACCTCGCCGGCCACACTTTCCCCCATACCGCCGGTTCGGCTAGCCTCGTGCACAACCACACATCGACCGGTTTTATTAACGCTCTTGGTAATGGTCTCCTTATCCCACGGTCTCACGGTCCTGAGGTCGATGACCTCAGCGCTAACGCCCAAGCGCTCCTTGGCGGCTCTCGCCGCGGCCTCGGCGACGTATACCATCGTTCCGTAGGCCACGAGTGTGACGTCGGTACCAACTTGAAGCACTTCGGCTTTACCGATTGGTAGCTCATATTCCTCTAATGGCACTTCCTCAACAGCAGCGCGGTAGAGGATCTTTGGCTCCATGATAACAACTGGATCCGCGCCCCTCGCAGCCGCGATCAATAAGCCCTTCGCCTGAACCGGGGATCTGGGGATGACGACTATGACCCCCTGCATCCCTAAAAAGAAACCCTCGGGGCTCTGTGAATGGTACAACCCGCCGTGGCCCACTGCGCTAGTAGGCATCCTGACCACCATGCGCCCAGCGTTGAACATCTCGGCACCGCCGGATCTGTAGCGCATCTTACTAGCTTCGTTGTGCAATTGGTCAAACGCTGGGAATAAGTAGTCTGCGAATTGGATCTCAGGAAGCGCAGTATACCCGCTCGCACTCAGGCCGATGGCGAAACCGATGATACCCTGTTCGGATAGTGGGGTGTTGAAGATGCGGGAGCTGCCGAAGGAGTCGGTGAGATTACTGGTGCACCGGAAGACCCCACCAAAGGAGACGTCCTCGCCGAAGATTAGGGACTTGTCGTCCGTGGTCAGGATTATGCGGAGAGCATCGTTCACGGCTGTGAAGTAGTTTGTGCGTTTGGTTTTGCCGGATCGTATGTGTTTTGGGAGATCGGTGTGGAGGTTGTAGGTTTGGGAGGGAGTGTGAGCGAGGCTAGGAAGGGACTCGTCAGCTGGTGAGAGATGAGGGGATATTGAGGGAAAGATTACTATGATGAAGTGGAATAATCTGTTGGGACATTCAGCCTTCCTGCTCCCGGGCTGACGGTAGTGTACCTCCGACGCGGGACATTGATAGCCGGGCGTAGGGAGCGGAATGGTAATAGCGAATTCTTCATGGTTTAAGTTAGTATTGCGGGGAAATTACCAAGGGGGTAGGTTGCGGGATGCTGGGGGTATGACTTGAATTGCAAGAGTTGGCGGTGAGGAGGTTCATCGTTGCTGGTAGAGTACTCGTGAAGCGGGACCGGAGCTCGGTCACAGTGTCGCCTATCGTCGGTAATATGCGGCTAAGCTCACCTTATTTGCGCCACGTGGCTAGCCGTTACCGGGTTGTTGGTGGAGTAATAGTCTAACCCTAAACCTTTCCAGCTTTTTCTCCGCGTCCCGAGCCTCAGGGTTTAGTGTCCCTGTGTTTGAGGCTGAAGCAAGTTGGTGTTTCCAGATCTAAAATATGCACAATATCCGTTCCCTTTTTCTATGGCTTCGCTCACAAGCCAACGAAATTTCCCTGGAAAAAAGGAAACCTCACCGAAAAGTCAATAGCGAAAACCCAAAACCACGGCAGATTTTACCCTATTTCATTGGCTCTCTCTACCTAGTAAACGGCTCAAAAGCATTATTGAAGTGAGATTTTAGTATTTAGTAGACTGGAGTCGGTATAATGATTTGAAATAAGAGTAAAAAAAACAATAATCATTATATGAAATGAAAATAATTCAGAGTATGACGGGTTGTTGTAATCATAATCCAAAGCTTACTGTGATGGATTCTAGAATAGTACTAGTAGTAAGGAAAACAAAAAAGTATATAGTAGGTCACACTGTCATTGTGGGGTTCAGGAAAGATGATATAATTTGAGCTTTAACATTTCCTGTTTTTTTTTCAAACTCTAACAACCACTAAAGTTGGATTATCGGGGGCAGAACCATACGTATTACCTCCTGCCAACACATGTATCATAACCAGTACGTCGGATGTGGGTGGGGGGAGCTCGATAAACCGAGGTTGCAGCGAGGACTCATAAAGGCCCCACGTGATTTGCTGCAACATTTCGGAGAAATGAGAGTAGCTACAAGCTTAAACAACACGTTTTGGCTTTCCCAGATACCGGCATATACGGTGCCGGTTGAACTATTGCGGCACTGATCGCATAGTGAAATTACAACCTTAACAAATGCAAATTCTGCTGTCGCTCTCTACTCTGGAGCACTGTGCGGTACTGCAATCGATCCGGGTATCCCACTACAAAGTCATTCATGTAAACAATACCGCAGTAGCCATCCCTTCTAATTCCTCGTCATCTCCTCAGACTGCTTCGTCTCGGTCGTCCCCGGCGTATCCTGACTTCCCTTCCTTCTCTCCTTCGATTCATCGGTCTCAACAGCCAATGCACCATCCTCATCTCCGTCGGCAAAGACATAGGAGCGGAATTCAGTGTGTCCCCACTTCGGGCCCGGGAGGTTGCCATCGCCATCCCAACCTTCTGTTAAATAGTAAAGGAACTATCAATTCAAATGTTAATCAAGTACCCAGAACAAGGAGAATAGGGTGCGGTAAACTTACACCACCGTGAAGGACTACGACAACATGGCTTTCCGGTCGGGACTTGAGCCATTTACGAACGAATCTAGCGCGCTCCCTAAGAGAATCAGGCTCGGGTGCCCATTTCCCTTCCTAATAGTTTTTAGCACGAGAGCCACGTCCCCCAGGGTGCGTGGAGGAGCACATAATACCTTCGAAGTCCAATCATCTGGAAGACTGGTAAAATCCAGTCCTTGAAACAACTCCTCCTTCTCTAACACTTCACCGCTACTGCCAGTATCACATGGCAAGCCAGTCGACTCCTGGAGCTCTGCCAACAGCTCCATCTTGACACCACTCTCGATATGCTTCTTGAATCCGAAAAGCATTGTCTGGATTGTTCGCTTCAGCGGAGAGGAAACAAGTAAGTCGATCGGAGGCTTAGATGGGAACTTATTCGAAAGATTATAAGATTGGGCTTCGCCCAAGGGTGTTAGGTAGGGATCGGGCAAATGGTATTTCTGATCGACATTGTGATGAGCTTGTCCGTGGCGAATGAGGGTGATGATTCTCGGAGCCATTCCTATGAACAAAAATTGGTCAAAGAACTAATGAGCAGATGAATAAAGTGCCAGCGGGGGGCAGAAGGCAGCGATATATATAAGTCCCTAAGGGGTACCGTACCCCAAGCGACTTCAAAACAGTCCAACCATCGTCGGCCAGACCATTTAGTTTTTGCTCTGCTTATCCCTAGCCCTGCCGCAACACTCGAGTACGGTACTGGTACGGTACAATTACCGGTAGACCATGTGAGCCCTCGGCGCATCCTCCATCTCCGTTACAACTCCAGTCGTTGAAAAATATTTCCTATTTGGGAATGACTCAACACCAGAGAACTATCACCACTTTTTCGGTCTCGCACCCCCCCTGCGTGGGGGGGGGGTAGGCCACTTCTTCTCACCTGTTTGCCCCTATGGGGGCATCCTTCATCTCCTCCCCCATTCTGGCATCTAGCTACTACTGGTTGGGGTCCTTCTCTACTCTCTGGAGGCCTCTTTGGCAGGTCTTCGACTACTCTACCCCGCTTTTGCTAGGCCTCACTTAGCATCTGCATGGTTGGCTTTGGTGGATAGATGATGGTCCTCTGGTCAGTTGGCGCGGTGGTCCTCTAGGCTATCGGGAGTTTGCTTCGCCGCTACTTCTGTGACCCTAGTTGCAGCCTGCCACCGTATCATTTGGCCTGACTCGCCCTGCCTTGCCTTCCTCCTCTTCTCCTCTGGGTCGGCTGGCATCCTACTGCTCGGGTCATCGGGGCCCTCCTCACATCGTCACGGCAGCACTTCTATCTGCCTGCTCACGGCCTACGGGCTTCCCCTTCGGTCTGGCTCTGTTGTCCTCGGTGGCATCATCCATCCTCCTCGGCTGGCATCCTCTCTGCTGGGCTGGCAACCCCTCTGCTTACTCCTTTTGGCTCTGACTCCCTACAAGTCATCCACATCTTGCGGGCCTGGCATGCCCCTTACCAATCTGCTGGGTATGCGGCCCTACCACGTGGTGCTTTTGGTAGCGCCTCCGCCTCTACCACTGGCAAGTGGGGTTTTTACTTTTGTCTTTGTTCTCTTGGGCTGGGGCCCTTGGAGGATTTTTATACCCTATGTGTGCCCAAGGTCTATGACTTGGGTTTTCTTTACTTTTCTGTTAGTCATCTACTGCGATGCGAGGGGCTATTTTGGCTCGAAAGTGGGGCCAAGTGCCAGGGTTTACTGGTGCGGGCCTGAGCGGTTGGAAGGCCTGGGACTTGTTGGGAGCAGGAGGCAGGATTGGGAGTATGGTATGGTTTCCTTTGTTTATGCATGTGAAATTAAGGCTTTTTCTATTGCCATACCGCGAGGTGCATGTAGGTTTTTGAGCCAGAATCAATAAACGTATCAATTAAAAAAAAAATTGTGAGCCCTCGGCGAGGCGACGCCCCCGGCCAACGACAATAGACAGCACAAGCCGTGCCCGCGCCTCGCGGGTGTCGCCTCGCTCAGGGTGCCGCCTCTCTCAGGACTCACACGGTCTCTTTCCACGTTCCAGAGATATCCGGATATCTTGGCACCCCCTACGAATATGGTAGAAGAATTCCTTAGCTTGCATAATTCGCACAAATGGATTGCACACAACAGGTTGCTAAGGTTCCTGAAAAACTCGGTCACACGTAGTTTGTTCTGTATACTTCAATAGAGAATGGGCTCCGGCGGGAGTATAATTATGCTGTGGGACCAAGGTGGACATGCGGTAGCATGTAGATACTTGTATACAGGTGGCGGTGTGTGATGTTGTTAGTCTGGAGGCATGTGTGAAGGTCAGGGAGTAAGTTATCTGTATAGGGTGATAGCCCAGTTGTGGTGTTTGTATAGGGTTCTACCCCATCGAAGGTGTTGTCTATCTATGGGTGATTCGCTATGATGTAAAGCGTACCAAATGGGGACCAAGGCCGTTGCATCCTATAACGCCTCCTATTTACCAGGGTAGAGGGTTACAAATTCCAAAAACATATTTTACGGATCCCTTGCTCAATTCATACTGCTGCCTAAGTTCCTCTAGTATTCTTTCCAGTATGGTAGTAGTATTTCCAGTTATATTTTGAGCATATACAACTGTCAAGATAAAGGGTACTCCCATATTGATATATTCTCTACTTTAAATATTATACATATTTACCCTTCTATGGGACTTGCACTACTAAGTTGGCAGGGAGGATAATCATGGGGTAGAATTTGTAGAGAAGACTATTTTTACTTAGGATTCTTCAAGTGGGCTAAAGAAAACCAATGTGCTGTTCCCATAATCCCCGCATCATAGTTGGTCACTCGATTTCCGGGTTTTGTTTCTTGTTGGAAATAGCAGTAGATGGCCGCACTTGATGCGGGATGTGCTCATACATGAAGGCGTCAGTAGCATATGTCTGCACCCCTGTAAGACGCATATGCTATGCAAACTTTTCTCATCCCTGTCTTTTCTTTCCTTTCTATCTTCTCTTGCGAAAAAACATCTTCCTGTACTTGACCTCTCACCTCAAGTTCTTCATTTCAGTCATCCTTAAGCAATCAATCACGGTCTTTCTCTTTACCTGAGAGAAACCTCCCATCTCCACTTGCGTGATTCTACTCCGCTGCGTAAACCCTCACTACTGATCATTACCTCCATATCAATCATTTTCTCAACAGGTTATGAGCCCGGGTTCTGCGCAGGAACAATCGGATGGTCTATTCTTCAAGTGAGTCCTTTCTATAAACAAAGCATTTTCTTCTTTGCTCTTTCCTCTTCCCATATCCGATAATGTCGGTTACAAACCAAGTCTCACGGTGGCCTACCTTACAAGCAAGTGGACCGGTGGAGATTTTTACCTTCAAATTTGGGACTACAGAGAAGTTGAACGAGTATAACTTCCACCACTGGAGCGAGGATCTTAAGGCTTTCATGGGGGCAGATCAAACGTATGATGTAGTTTTTGATCCTGCGGAGCCTCCAACCCCCGATCAACTACCTGCTTATACCGAGTACCGGAATAAAATCAACTGTGCCTTTGGTATAATTTTTACTTCCTGTACTCAGCAGGTAAAGCAACACATCCGTGGACTTGACTGTCCTATAATGATGTGGACTTCTCTTCGAAGCAAGTATGATATAACCGCATCACAAGTTGGACGATCAACTCTCCAGTGTCAGTTCTTCGCCTTACGGCTGGAACCTGGAATGTGTATTAGTGACTTGATCTCTACCAAGAAATCTCTTCAATCAAGGCTTCTTGGAACTGATATAGAGATCTCATCAAACTTCTTCATTTCTGTTCTGAATTCACGCCTTCCCGAAGAGTACCTACCTACGATCGATCGAGTACTTGCGGAGTCTGATTTGGATACCAATTGCCTTGTGGAAGCAATTCTACAAAAAGAACAAGCATTACGGAAAAGAAACGAGAATGTTATGGGAGTAAATACTGCAGGAGCCTCGACTACTGCACTCCTTGCAGATACATCTCAATCCCACTCTAGTCGTAGTAGAATAAGAGGATTCCAACAGAGTCGTTCTGGTATTCGCGGTAGATACCAAACTCGATATGCCCGCAGTCGAGTCTATTGTAAACAAGAGTCTGGACGTGGGCCAATCTGCAACTACTGTGCAAAGCAGGGCCATAGAGAAGAGAGTTGTTATACCAAACAGAGAGCTGAGAGCAGAAGAAGAATGCTTCATGGAAACCCGAGAAATGGTTCTTACCACTCGAGTTCTCATCAACAATTGAGCGGAAATGAAACTGAACAGGCTCTAATCGCCTCTTATGTTTCCGAGCATACCCTTACAGTTATCACTACCAATAAGGCTGTAGGAAAAGACAAGTGGATAATCGATAGTGGCGCATCCGATAATCTCTTACCAGATCGGCATGCATTCTACAATTTTAAAACCCTTTCTGCACCAGTTCCAGTATACATTGGTGATGGAAGTATGCTCCATGGAATTGCCCGTGGAACCATTCAGATCAGGTTAGAATCTGGCGCGGTTCTAGAATTCGAGGCACTTTATGTTCCGAAATTAAAATACTCACTGGTTTCGGTTGCTTGCCTCTGTGAGAAGTATAAAATTACCTTTGTCTCGACCACTTGTCAGATTGAGGGCAAGACAGGAACTCCAAATTGTTTAGGAGTTCTTCGAGAAGGGCATTGGTGGCTTTGTGGGTCTCCAGTCACCATCCATAGTCTGCGTGCTGCTTTGGCTAAATCAGGTGGTTCAATCTGTAAACCATCCTAGAATCTTTGGCATTCCCGGTTAGCGCATTTGAATCTTCAGTCAATGAAGATTGCTCTCAGTAGCTCACTTTCAAAGATGTTGGAAGCCGATGAGCATGACCTTGTAGCTTGTACTATATGAATTCAAGCCAAGCAGGAGCGCAAGATTATTTGACAGCCTGTTCCTCGAACTCTGAGACCTTTTGAACTGATATACTCAGATCTCGCGGGACCCATTACTACTCCATCTTGCTCCGGAGCACGCTACTTCTTACTCTACATTGATGATCATACACGCTATACCTCGGTATATTTCCTATGGAGTCAGGAAGCCATAGAAGTTACCGGCTGCTTCCAAGAGTTTATGACACAAATAGAGAAGCACTTTCCTCAATACCCGGTCACAAGATTCAGATGTGACAATGGCCGAGGTGAATACTCCAATAAGTTCTTTCGTGGTATTCTTCGCGCTTCGGGTGTTGCGTTTGAACCAGCGCCCCCTTATACTCAGAATGAGAATGGCTTGTCTGAGCGCATGATCCGAACGATAGTTGCGAAGGGGAGAAGTCTGCTTTTAGACTCCAAGCTTGACCCAGAGCTGTGGGCTGAGGCTATCAATACAGCTACCTATCTACATGCACGTTTCCCCTCTCGGGTTATAGGCTACAAGAGCCCATATGAGGCACTCTATGGTGAAAAGCCATCACTCACCCACCTTTGCCGATTTGGCTGCCTTGCCTTTAAGCTTCTCCCGGAAGCACAGTGCATAGAGAAGAAATTTGGATCTAGATTCAAGAAGTGCGCCACGCTAGGCTATGTGCACAATACGGGCAAAATCTGGAAGCTTTGGGACATGGAACAGAGAAGGCCTTTTCAATCCTCTGATGTCATCTTTGATGAAACCACTGTTGCTGGTTCCTTTGAGTTAGCCTCTACCGGGAATGATATTCTAAAGCCTCTTCTTGCCGAAGATATCCTTTTGATTGATGAGAATGAGGATGAACCGGTTGACTACCGCGACATTAACATGGG